AAATATCTTCTGGAACATAAGATACATTCTTAGATTTGCTTTAAACTAGATTTGTGATTTTTGAATAAGTAATTTATTTCACTGGCTTTCAGTTTTCCTCCTGTTAAGTGAGAAGAGATTGACTTAATAGGTTCTTTAATCCTAAATTTAAAACACAATTAGCCCTTTCTTTTGGTTTCAAAGAATATTTTATATAAGTTTCTTTTAGTGATAGAAAAAAGAAAAGAAAGTATCAAGGGAAGTCTCAAAAAAATTTCATTTCTGTAGCTAAGCAGACTTGAAAAAGACAACCATTTTGACTTGAGCAAAGAAAAGAGTGGCACATGAAGTCAACTCAAATATTGACTGTCTGCCCCAATAACATTTCCTTTTCATCCTCCATTGTTGGTACTGTTCAAACTCCATAGCAAAATCTTGGTCATCAGGAGACCAGTTTCTAGTAACTGAGTTATTCATCATGGCTCTGAACCAGGAGTAAGAAACAAAACTTACCTCCTGGAACAAATAAGACATTTATCTTTGCAGTTAGCAAAGCCTCAAGCAAGTAGAGGAGATCATGTCCAGAGAAGCAAGGAAAACTTGATGGACTGTCCACGTTCATAAGAGATTGGAAAGTTTTAAAAAAAAAATGAGAGATTCATAGAAACATAAGATGCAGAGCAAAAAAGGAGAGACAAGAGGCATTAGAGGTGGTGGCAGCAGAAGGGAAGGTGGGGAATGATAATAAGAACACTAAGTACCAGGTGTGGAGTTGCTTTGTTCCAAAGCAGGCAGTAAATGCAAACATACTAAGAATATAAGGAGGGTTTTTCAACAAATGGTGCTGAACAAATGGACAGTATATGCAAAATAATAATAATAATGGCCTAAATAGAAACCTTAACCTTGAGATCTGTTAAATAAATTTGAGTTTGACTCAAAAAAAAAAAAAAAAAGAAAACTTTTGCCTTTCACAAAAAGGAACCTCAAATGGATAATATACCTAAACACAAAATATAAAACTATAAAACTCCCAAATTTCTGGATATAAAACCATTGGTTGATATTAATAGAGCCAAAGATTGTTCTCTGGGCACAGAAATGCATAATACATGTCATTAAAAGACAAATGCTTCAGTTTAATAAACATAAGAGACATTTCCAGGGAAACATTTCAAATTCTATGACAAACATTGAGTTCTGTTATTTAAAGCCTCAGAAGAGATAACCTGTTGTGCAGTGGTTAGATTTTTATTTAAGGGCTTCTTATTACCATCTACCTCACACAGAAACATCTGGTCATTGCCTTGCCAGTCTCTACAAGGATATTCTCATTTCCCGGTACACTTCAGTTTATGCCCTCTGTCCCAAACAGATCCCTGGTGACTTTCCAATAAGGTGATTTCCTTGTAGTATGAATGAACCCTGTGGTTACAGAACACCCTGTTTGCACAGTGTAACCCTATTCCTCTTAAAGAAAGTCTCCAGAAACTTCCTTTCCAGAGAGATGAAATGAACCTGATCTTGCCTAACCTGCACCTTCAGTCATTATCTCCCTTATTTTTCTTCACACTAGTCACTCTACTGTTTCAGGTTTTTTTCCCCCCCCCAAATGGCAACTTCATATTTATATGACTCTATGGCTAGGAGGCATACAAGACTGTTCCTGGTGCTGAGTCCAGCTAACTTAGCATGACACGGCTGGGTAAACCCATCCTCTAGGACAGCATTTGGTATGGAAAATGCAGTGGCTGATGAAAAGTGTTAGGAGCAAGGCACCCACAACTCCTTTCTTTCTTCACCAAAGCCTAAATTTATATTAGACATTCTCCTGAAAGGCAAACAACAATGGAAAAAACAAAGGAAAACAACAATGGCTTGAAGAGGAAGGGGTGAAAGATTAAAACTCAAATTTTTTTTTCTAAACCACAATTTTTGTTGATTGAAGAAAGGTGATAGGAAATAACCCTGCAGGGAAAGGGACCCTGACCAACGGAGACATTGGTCAGGTTAGTGGAAAACCAGTCTAGCCTAAGTTTCTGCTCTGGAGATTACAGATCTTTATTTAGCAGAGCTCCTTAGTGAGTCTGAAGTTGACAGTGGAGGGGAAAAAAAAAGTTCAACATGAGAGAGTAATGAAAATTTAGAGTGTGGAGGCCAGCATTTGGAAAATGTTGGTAGTTCAGGGCCTGAAAGAAAGAGCTACCATCTTGAAATCTCCCCTTAGATAGTGTTGCCTAAGTTTCTTTCTTTTCTTTTCTTTTTTTCTTTTTTTTTTTTTTTTGGTGGTAGTGCTGGAGATTGAACCCAGGACCTTGTGCATGCAAGACACTCTACTAACTGAGCTATATCCCCAATGTCTCACTTACCCTGTGCTGTGGTGCAATTCCCTTGTGTTATTTCAAACCTTCAGTAAAATTCTGCTACACCCCACCACCTATGTTCATGACATTGTTCTTCAACTTGGGGCAAAGCAGATCAAGAAGAGAGGAGGCCATCAGTAGAAAATGAGTAATGGTTTGGACAGACAGATCTGGAAATGGTCATCTCTGGAAAAATCAACAGGAACATGGCTGGAGAGAAGAGGGTAATTTCCTATGGTAAGTAGATTGGGGGTTCCACTCTTTCATTTACATATTGAAAATATGTCTCAGAAAACTGTAAGGTTTGACATCTGTTTTATATTAGTGCATACCGACATTAAAATAATTGAAATGATTCTCAAGTTCGTATTTCTCAAACTAGTAGTAACATTTTAGTGAAAATTCAAAGGACTGTGAGGTTGACAACTTTTAAAAAAATATTGTTTCATAAAATAAAGGTACTATCTTTTTTTTTTTTTTAATGGTGTCTTATTATATTGCTGGTTGGCTTTGAAGCCAAAATCCTCCTGTCTCAGGCTCCCAAGTAGCTGGGATTACAGAAATTGGTTTCAATAAAAGACATTTAAACACACATACAGGCAACATATAAAGGACACAATAGAATATTTTAAAATTTTTTGTTCCTCTTAAAAGTAAAATTTATTTTTGTTTTTATCTGAAATGATCTCACATATTCGAACCTATTAAATTGAAAGCAATGCATATTTTAACTTCAGCTTAAAGGTGTTTTAGTCTTTTATTCACTTACTTGTTCATTTTTTTTAAAAAAATTATAAATCTATATGTGCCAGGCACTGCACTAGGTACTAAGATACAGTAATGAACATGATTGTGTCTTTGCCTTCAATAACTCAAGGTTTAGTAGGAAAATCAAGTAGGTGACCTCAACTGCATACACAGCAACTTGTGCTGTAGTAGAGAAATTTACACAGAACTAAGGAGGGAAAATCAAAATCAGCATTTAAAATGCAGTCAATTTGGGCTAGGGTTGTGGCTCAGTGGCAGAGCACTTGCCTTGCATGCGTGAGATACTGGGTTTGATCCTCAGCACCACATAAAAATTAATAAATAAAATAAAGGTATTGTGTCCATCTACAACTAAAAGAATATATTTTTAAAAAAGCAGTTAGTTTATCTCAAAGCAGCACTGCAAGAAACATCAAAGTCTGATGCTAGGATTTACTTTGCATGTGTAAGCTGTTTCCTTACCAATGACTGAGGGAGAAGTTGATACTGTACCCCTGAGATCATGGGGTTTTTCAGACTTATCCATTCCATGGGAATCACAGGGCTGGGAACATACCTCATGGGTAATATATCAACCAGCTTGTAGGGGACCTCATGCTAGATAGGAAGAAGTTGAGTGGGTTTGGGAAATAAAAACTGCCCCCTCCCACTTGTCTGCAATGTAAGTTACTGCACATAGTCCCTCTGTCCATTACAGGACATACAACCTGAAGATGACAGGAAGGTGAAGCAAGGTAAGGGCTGTGCTGCCATGGACATAGTGCCACAGGATTGTCTGACAGACTCAAGATGGGAAACTTAGGGCACTTCACCAGTACACAGAATTGGAAGATATCTGGGAGTAGCAAAAGGCACATTTGTCCCCCTCCCCGGCCCCACCACAATATAAGCCCTTTCTAGTTAAAGCAAGGAGGTTTTCCAATTGTGAGCCTGAATGAGAAAAAGAATCAGAGAAGGAGAAATATAGTGGTATCCCAATCATCTGGTTCTGGAATTTTCCAAAGGAGTTGGGAATGCTGGCAAAGTAAGGTACAAATAAACGCATCAATATGGGAAGAAGATCCAGAGGCAGGTACACTGTAGATTCTTTCTCTCTTGTTCTGTGCTCCAGAAGGTACCATATTGAAGGGACAAAAAAAGCGAACTACATACATTTTCTTAAAATTATGTAATCAGAGTATATATGTCAAAAGCACAGTTATTGAAACAATCCTCCACCCTTGTCTCACCTCAACTTTCTCAGAAATAAGTCTAGAACTTTCACACAATTATTCATCCTTATTTAAGATAAAATCCTGGGCAGATCAGGTGATGGCTGCAGTTCCAATGTCTTTGACCAGGTCTTCTCTCTTCTCTGAAGCACATACTGTGACAATGGTACCGAAAGGCAGGAAATGACTATTGAATACACAGAGGTTCTGCAGCTTTCGTCCATTCTCACACGATTTCCATTTTAGAATCTTAACAGCTCTCCCTCCCCGTGCGCAATGAAATAGAAGGGTCTTGGATCACACAAATGAAAGGAGATTCCTTTCCGGCACGGGTTTGGGAACAGAGGTTCGGTCTTTCCTGCCCTCCCGCAAACCTAGGAATTATGACTTTCCTGGAGAAAGGCCCAGCAGGGAGCAAGGACCCGCAGAAGGTGCAGGGAATTAGCGCCTCTGCAGAGCCCAAATTACCAGTGACCAGGCCGGCGTAGGGGCGAGGTGAAGCGGAGTTGTCTCCGAGGCTGGCTGTGGCAGCTCTGGCAGGGCAGTGATTGCTTTTCGGGAGAAAGGAAATGACGGTTTCCAAGTCTCAAGGCCAATTCTCAGGGGAACCCAAAGTAGCGACCCAGGCGTTGAAACCTGGCAAGTTCTAGGAGTCGAGCGAGGGGAGCAAGTGTCTTACCTGGCCAGGCTGGCTGGTGTAGTTGAAGGAGTAGATGTTCTCGGTGCTGAGGTTCACCACCCCGCTGTAGATGTGATCGAAATCTGCGCCCCTGGCTGGGTCGCTTGGGGCGCCGCGCAGCGCTGCGGACTGCGTGGGGGGCTTTGCTGGGCGACCCGCCGCCACAGCCCACAGTAGCCAGGGCAGCGCACAGAGCAGCGCACAGAGCGGCGTGAGCCGCTGGCAGGCGCGCATGGTGGGCGCCGCGCCGGGCAGGGAGCAGAGCCACCCTGGGGAGGGGGCGATCCCGGAGCCCGTCCTTCCAAAGCGGTTTGCAGAGCCGGCGCCGGCTTCAGCGCAGTGAGAGCAATGCTTGGCAAGCCCTGAAGGGCTGATTAAACATTGATGTGCTGCCTGGGGTCTCCAAGGGAGGTCACTGGTGGAGAGTAAGGGGAACGCGTGCTGTGGGGGCGGGGGTCTGCTGCTTTCCCCTCCTGCTTCTAAGTCTCGCCTTCCTCATCGCAGAGAATCTCCCGCTTACCCAGACAGAATTTCAACCTATCTCTTCCCCCTCTACCTCAACAAATATAATAACAAAAAAGCTATTGAGCTATTGAATACATTCGTCTGGAAAAATCGACCTGACCAGCCATCCGAGGAGGAAATACAGTCCCTTTCAAATATGCACCCTGGCTGCCGGTGAGCAAATAGAAAGCAAAAGAACCTGTCCCCCAAGAGGGTGCACGAGTTCGGTTTTGCAGGTTGCTCTCTGCAGAGAACTCTTGAGGGTGTGAATGATGATTATTCTCTATTCTCCCTTCTCTGAAAGGAGCCCTTCTCGGACACCTGTTTTATTTCCCTGTTACCTCCTATTCTCTCAGGAGAGCCTCACGTCATCACTCTCTCTCTCGCTCCCTATATGTGTCACGTATGTAAATATGAACAGTCATAAAAAAATAGATATGGTAAAGAGGACAATTTCAGCTCTGCCTGAAGTCTGGTCCCAGAATTTGTCAAAGACGACTAGAGTAACTAGATTTATGCAGAAGGCATTTCTTCCTAGCGTCTTGCTTGCTTTACCTCTGCAATGACTTCTTGCAGATTCCAGGAGAATTCCCAGTATCCTAAATTGCTTTTTAAGAAACAGAAACCACAGCCCATCACAAAAAGGAAATACCCTTCTGGCAAAAATTGGGGCTGTAGATTTTGAGAGCAATAGTACCAGGTAAGGAGTAGAGTAAGAGGATCTATGATAAGTCCTTGGAAAACAGCCAATTTAGGTGTGGGAGAAGACTGACTGTTTTATTTCAGCATTTTGTAAATTAGAAGAAAATAGAATTGTTAACCTCAAGGGACATTAAAAAAAATCTACCAAGAAAAAAGATCTTGTTCAAAGATTTAAGATTAGAGATTTAAGTCTTAGTACTTGCCATTCAAATGAAGGAGGATGTTTGTTTTCCTCATTGAATTCCTACAAATTATTAAAGTATCAGGAATAAATGCAGTATCTATACAGTTTTTAAACTGTAATCAGAAAACAATGCTGATGGAAGATTGACTTAAGAGTACTCCTTATTAGGACAATTTTCACTTTAAAAAAATAAGCTCTTGAAAATGTATACACATGTAAGCAAAAAAAAATCTTCCTTCAGAGAAGTGTCTAGGAGTAAAAATTTTAAATAGAATTTATTATTTTTGAGAAACATTTCACCAACAATTTGAATGGCTTTAAACTGCTTTATTGATAATGTGTATTTCTCTTTTCAAAATATAACAAAATTTCACTTTGAACTTGAAATTTATGAAGGCCTTTGAAATTAGTTGGGGTGGCCAGTCCAAAGCAGTCTCTAGAGATGTAGGATACTGGAGTCTTAAACATTATGAGACACTAGGAACTGGCTGTTTCACAAAGCAACACCTTCTTTTCTGGACAAGCATCTCATTTGAAAGATATTTCAGATTCTAAGTTGAAACGTACCTTTCTCCCAAATTATACTAGTCCAGCCCTCTGGAGCCACTGAATAAACCTAATCCTTCTTCCACATGACAGCCTTGTAGATATTTGAAAGGATTTGTGATTCTTCCTTCAAAACGTTGTCCTAACTTTAAGCCATGAAATTAGGAACAATTGGAACAGATTCTTGGACACAGAATGAATATTTATTATATAAGTATTTATTCCTAAGCCATTGTAGGTGGTATCTATTTTCTACCAGAAAACTTGCCTTATGTACTACACATGATTCTGTACTATGATCTAATCCTGATTCTGGAGACCAAATCCATTGAGTTACTTTTGATAATTAATCTCAGAATCACAAGATTGTTGTAAGGATAAAAGGAAGAAAAAAGTATTAAAGGTGCATTTAAAAGTTTATAATTGTTGTACAAACTAGCATTATTATTGTGACTGCCAGTTCAATAACTAAAAAATAAAATATGGTCCATTGGTAGGTATTTTTAATATCTACAGCTCCAAAATTCCATTTTGAGAGACTGAATATCCAAATGGGCATTGGGAATAAAACTTTGGCCCATAACTTCTGCAGCTACTGACTCAGGAATCTGACCTATAACCTTAGTGGCAACCAGTTCCGTGTACCAAACCACAACCTTGGCAGCAAGTGGTACAGAAAGTTAGGATTGGCCAGTGAGTCAGCTTACCTAGCTTTTGGCCCTGCTTTCAACACAAGATCTACTAGAGGAAGCCAAATATGCTCCTCAAATCATAAAGTGCCTTGCTTCTAGTTAGCCTTCCTTCAGCTTCTTCACACCATAAGCCAATCAGCACGTACCTGAAATGCTCTCTTGTTTTTTTTCACTACAAAGATTTCTCTCCCCTGCCTACCTTTGAGTCTCTGCCAAGCACAAGTCATGGTGGCTCAATCTCATGCTACATCATGCTCTGAATAACCTGTATTTGTTTTCATTTGTGTGATCTTTGTTTATTTCCATAATTTTTCAGAAGATTCCACAGAGGTACTATCTGTATATCCTGTTACTGTACACCCTAGTTTTCTACCAGGTGTGATACTCACCCCTTGCGCACACAGCTTGAATATGTATTAACACGTCAGACGAGCACTGTGTCTGAACCCAGCTGTCTTAGGTTTTGCTTTGGCTACCTAGGCTCATTTTGGTACAGAATTTTGGTTTTGGTTCCCATTGTTGGCCATCATTTTTTTAAAATATTTTGTTTATTTAGTTGTAGTTGGACCCAATACCTTTATTTTCTTTTTATGTGGTGCTGAGGATCAAACCCAGGCCTCGCTCTACCACTGAGTCACACCCCGATGATCCCTGTTGGCCAACTTTGAGTTGGGCCATTCTTTTTTTAATCCCTTTTTGCTCTCTTTTCTGCTTCTGTTTTGTGTTGTGCTGTCTAAAAGTGTCACAGAGTAGTAGGCATAGGCCCCATAACCTTTCAGTTTGAGTTGGCCTTTACTGATCAATGTGGTTCTCATTCATTCAGACAAACTTTGCAGTAGGTCACCAATAAAACCAGATAGAATCATCTTCCCACCTGAGAATTTGGTCCACAGAGTGTTCTCTCTGGTGTTCCACCTGCCTGGGAGCACAGATTATCAGGTCTGCATTTGGAGGCAGCTAACCAATAAGTTGGGGGCTCAAGATGCAAAAGTGCAAAGCTTCACTTTTGACCAACCATTGCTGGTTCTTATGAAGTCAACTCAGTCTGATTTTCTCTTCTTCCAGGAAAAACTCCATCTTATATACACACACCACAATCCTAATTCTTGCATTTAACTCCCTGAATGGCACAACTTCACCAAAGATAATAACAGCTTTCAGTGACCATTCTGGGAAAACAGTAGATTTGAACAAAATTGTGTAGCTGAGATAGATCCTACCAAACTGTTAACACCCAAACTCCCCCAATATCCACTGAAACCAAAAGCAAAGAATGACCTCAAACTTACAGTTAAGGGCTTTATATCCAAAAGTGCACTAGCCCTTGCAACATTCCTATGCCACTAGGAAAGTAACTAAATGGACAAAGATATTGATTTGTTCAAGATCTCAGGAAGAAATGGGGATGTAGCTCAGTGGGAGAGTACTTCATGAGGTCCTGGGTTTGATTCTCAGCACTGAAGACAAACAAACAACAAAAATCCCAAAAAAACTCAGGGCCACAAACAAATGGTTACTTCTCATTCCTCATTAGCATCGAACCTAAACACTATCCTGTAATTAGCTCCTCCTCAAATTCTTCCTCATAGAGGATTATTGCCTTGCTTTTTTCAATGTTTAACAACAATTAATATCTTTTTGCTTTCATCTGAGAGGATGACACCATACCAGGATAGTAAGACCCCTGGGACTCAGTGAAATCCTTTCCCATTTTCCCTAGGCCCTTAATCAAGAACAAATAGATCCAATTTCCCTTGTTATTAAGGTTGGCTATATATGTTCATGATCTCCTACCTTGTTCAGAAAAACCTAGAAAAAGCATTCCATTTACTTGCTGTAAGTATTAGTAGAAAAGGAACATAAAGTTTCAAGAAAGGTAAATTAGTATTTGCCAAAACATAGTCCATGTTTTGGAGCATGACCTATTTAAGGTAAAGACTGCCTAAATTTATTGGAAACCCTGACAAAACTTCACTGGCAATGACTTCTGTGTCTAACTGTATGCTTATGACAGTTTTGGATGCCAAGATTTTTGAGACTGTGACACCTCTATGAAATGGGTAAATCCCCAATGACAGCCCTTGTCTTCTGAGAGCCAGTGTATTGAATGAGTCTTCTATAATCTGAAGCAGGCTCTTCAATACCCTTTTTCCCCTGGCATCTTTAACTGCAAAAAACCTTTTCACCTATTTCTGCAAACCTCAGAGGTTTAACCCAACTTCATGAGAACCATCAAAATACACCACTTACTGCAATCTCAGCCTCAACCCAATTGCAAAGCCTTTGCCTTTGGGTAATAGCACCACTGTAAAACCTGTTGAATTTGTCCCAGGCTCCATTATTTACCTTATGGTTTCTCATGCAGTACAGACTTTACAACTGACTGAGAACATGAGCACTTTCCAGCCTATTGGCCTCTTTTTTCTAATGGACTATCATTTTACTGCCTATTTCTCTCTCCTTTAAGCTTCTTAATCTCTTCAAAGTTTCTGTTTTTCTTTCTCATATTACTATTCATTGCTGTAACACTCTGACTCCTGCCACTCTCCTGACCTTACCAAAAGAAGAGGAACCTCATGAATATCTTACCTTACTAAAGAATAGCC